CTCCCTGCACGCCGACATACACGCTGCAGACACCTCCCTGTGGTGGCCCCACAAATACGTAGTAATACCTCCCTCCCTGTAGGTCCACATACCTGTATACACGCCATACTAATTCTCCCTGTGGGTCCACATACATGCCCTCCTCAATACTCCCTCCCTGTAGGTCCACACACATCGCTGTGAAACCCTCCCTGTAGGTCCACATACATGCCGTGTGAAAACCCTCCCTGTAGGTCCACATACATGCTCTTTAAAACCATCCCTGCACATCAACATACATGCAATACTACCTCTCTCTCTAGGTCCACATAGATGCTCGTGATTACTCCTCCCTACACGCCACCAACATAAATGCCTGTGAATACCTCTCCCTGCACGCAGACACATACACTGTAGGGGTCCACATACATGCTGTGTTATACTCCCTCCCTGCACGTACACATACACTGTAGGTCCACATATTGTAGCAATACTCCTCCTGTAGGTCCACATACATGCCGTATCATAACTCCTGCATCGTTGACATACATGCTATAATACTCCTCCCTGCAGGTCCACATACATGCCATAATATCCTCCATGTAGGTCCATTATACACGCTATAATACTCCTCCCTGTAGGTCCACATACACGCTATAATACCTCCCCTGCAGGTCCACATACATGCCATAACACCTCCTTACAGGTCAACATAAGCACATGCCATAATAACCTTCCTTGTAGGTCCACATATGTCGTGTAATACTCTTCCCCTTCAGGTCCACATACATGCCGTGAATACTCATCACTGTAGGTCCACATACACGCTCTGCATCACTCCTCCTGTAGGTCCACATACACGTAGGTATCACTTTCCATTCACGTCAACATACATGCCGTAATGCTCCTCCTGTAGGTCAACATATATACCGTATCAATTCTCCCTGTAGGTCTACATACATGCTGTAATACTCCTCCCTGCACGCCGACACATACGCTTGCATCACTCCCTCCCTGTAGGTCCACAAATACGCAGTAATACCCTCCCTGTAGGTCCACATACCTACATACACGCCATAATACCTCCCTCCCTGTGGGTCCACATACATGCCTCAATCCTCCTCCTTGTAGGTCCACATACACGCTGTGAAACCCTCCCTGTAGGTCCACATACATGCAGTAAAACCTCCCTGTAGGTCCACATACATGCCTTTTAATACCTCTCATCCCTGCACATCCACATACACGCCTCGTAATACCTCCTAACTGTGGTGGTCCACATAGATGCCGTATTACCCTCCCTACAGGTCCACAGATACATGCCATAATAATTCTCCTGTACGTACACATACACTGTAGGTCCACATACATGCTGTAATACTCCTCCCTGTAGGTCCACATACAATGCTTGCGTAACACTCCTCTCCTCTGTAGGTCCACATACATGCCGTAATACCCCTCCCTGTAGGTCCACATACACGCCTGTAATACCCTCCTGTAGGTCCACATACATGCTGTAATACATTCTCTCTGTAGGTCCACATACATCTTGTCGTAATACTCCCTCCCTTGTAGGTCTACATACATGCCGTAACACCCTCCCTTTCTGTAGGTCCACATACATGCTGTAATACCCTCCCTGTAGGTCCACATACACGCTAGTAATACCCTCCCTGTAGGTCCACATACACTGCACAATACATCCCTGTAGGTCAACATAAGCATAATACTCCTCCCTGTAGGTCCACATACATGCCATGTAGATACTCCTCCCTGTAGGTCCACATACATGCCTTAATACCCTCCCCTGTAGGTCCACATATACATGCCGTAATACCCTCCCTGTAGGTCCACATACATGCCTTAATACCCTCCCTGTAGGTCCACATACATGCTAGTAATACCCTCCCTGTAGGTCCACATACATGCCGTGTAATACCCTCCCTGTAGGTCCACATACACGCTGTAATACCCTCCCCTGTAGGTCCACATACATGCCGTGTGATTAATACACCTCTTTTTCTGTAGGTCCACATACATGCTGTAATACCCTCCTGTAGGTCCACATACATACATGTGCTCCCTAGGTCCACACATGCTCCTCCCTGTAGGTCCACATACATGCTGTAATACCCTCCCTGTAGGTCCACATACACGCCGTAATACCTCCTCCCTGTAGGTCCACATACATGCTGTAATACCCTCCCTGTAGGTCCACATACATGCCGTAATACCTCCCTGTAGGTCCCACATACATGCTGTAATACACTCCCTGTAGGTCCACATACATGCTGTAATACCTCCCTGTAGGTCCACATACATGCCAGTAATAGCCTCCCTGTAGGTCCACATACATGCCTGTAACACCCTCCCTGTAGGTCCACATACATGCCGTAATACCCTCCCTGTAGGTCCACATACATGCCGTAATACCCTCCCTGTAGGTCCACATACACGCCATAATACCCTCCCTGTAGGTCCACATACACGCCGTAATACCCTCCCTGTAGGTCCACATACACGCCGTAATACCCTCCCTGTAGGTCCACATACATGCCATAATACCTCCCTGTAGGTCCACATATACATGCCATAATACCCTCCTGTAGGTCAACATACATGCCAGTAATACCCTCCCTGTAGGTCCACATACATGCCGTAATACCCTCCCTGTAGGTCCACATACATGCCGTAATACCCTCCCTGTAGGTCCACATACACGTAGTAATACCCTCCCTGTAGGTCCACATACACGTAGTAATACCCTCCTGTAGGTCAACATACATGCCGTAATACCTCCCCTCTCTGTAGGTCCACATACACGCCAGTAATACCCTCCTGTAGGTCAACATACATGCCATAATACCTCCCTGCAGGTCCACATACACGCCGTAGGTACCCCTCCCTGTAGGTCCACATACATGCCGTAATACCCTCCCTGTAGGTCCACATACATGCCTGTAATACCCTCCCTGTAGGTCCACATACATGCCGTAATACCCTCCCTGCACGTCGACATACACGCCATAATACCCTCCCTGTGGGTCCACATACATGCCTCAATACCCTCCCTGTAGGTCCACATACACGCTGTGAAACCCTCCCTGTAGGTCCACATGCATGCCGTAATACCTTCCCTGTAGGTCCAGATACATGCCGTAATGCTCTTCCTGAAGGTCCACATACATGCCTTAATACCTTCCCTGTAGGTCCAATAGATGCCGTAATATCCTTCCTGTAGGTCCACATACATGCCTTAATACCCTTCCTGAAGGTCCTCATACATGCCGTGCCGTAATACCCTGCCTGTATGTCCACATACATGCCGTAATACCCTCCCTGTAGGATCACTTACACGCCGTTATACACTCCCTGCAGGTACACATACATGCCTTAAAAACCTCCCTGCAGGTCCACATACACGTAGTAATGCACCTCCCTATGGGTCCACTTACACGCCGGGCAACACCCTCCTCCCTGTAGGGCCCACTTACACTTCGGTAATACCCTCCCTGCAGGTTCAATATACACGCCGGGTATCACCTCCTGTAGGTCCATATACACGCACGTAATACACATCCCTTGCACGCCCACATACACGCCATAATACACTCCCTGCAGGTCCACATACATATGCCGTAATACACTTCTGTAGGTCCACATACACAGCCGTAATACCTTCCTGTAGGTCCACATACATGCCGTAATACCCTCCCTGTAGGGTCCACATATACGCCAGAATACCTCCCTGCATCGCCACATACACGCTTATAATAGCCTCCCCTGCAGGTCCACATACACGCTGTAATACTCCTCCCTACAGAGCACACACACAACTGAACGAAGTACACCACAGGCA